AAAAAAAACTGTATACAAATGTCACAGTTATTACCTGATGCAATAATGCTGAAATAGTTCAGTTCTAATTACGAATAATACTATTTTTTTGGCTTTGCCACAATTTTGGCAATATAAATATTGACTGACATAGAGACAAAATTCATTGAAAAATAAGAATGATTGGGCCACACCAAAAGCTTAGAAAATGGAATTCGAATTTCAAATTTTAAACATTTGCTTAGATTTTTCAGTACATCGTTTTTGAAAAATTAAATTGCTTTAAATCTGACACGGGCAAAAACTTGAATAAATGCCGGAGTGCATGTGTAAACACAGCATATGAAAACAGCTGAGTGAAATGCTCAAGTGCAACTGACATTTTCTATAAACTTTATTGCATATCGAAAATTGCATGCATACGCTTATTATGAAATCATCGGATTTTTTTAAATGGCCATAATTGATATCAATATTGTTGGATATGTTTAAAATAGACAGAATTAAAATGGCGCACCGATTTATTCATACATGCTTGCTTGATTGATAAGATGCATGCACTCTTTCTGTATGATGTTCCATAAGAATTTTATCTTTACTCACAGATTGGACATTTCGGAGTATGTCAGCTTCAAGTGTACATTTAAGCCAACACTTAGCTAAGTTCAAGGCGAAGTGTGTCTCAAATGTGTATGTGCATTTGTCTCAAGTATCTGCGTCGAGGGGCACATCACTCTAAAGTAATTTGTAATAGAGAAAGTAATCGAGAAAGTAATTTACGTGTAAAAATCTCGATTACTTTTCAATTTTTTAAAAGTAATCGAGATTTTTACACGTAAATTACTTTCTCGATTACTTTTTCTATTACAAATTACTTTAGAGTGATTTGTTCCTCGATCTGCGTGCATATTAAAATGCAACTGTTAAAACGTCCGACGGTTTCGGGCGTATAGCAAAAAATTGCTATACATCTCCCAGGAGAAAATTGTCCCGCATATAAAGTAAACAATTGCTAAACATCCGACAAAAAAACTTTGTTAATTTGTGCTAAGAAATTCGTCAATCATACAATCGAATTTATGATGATTTACATTGTTTGATTGATATTTTGAGTTCATTTAGAGAATGAGAGATCACTTCACTGGACCGAATTGAATATGCGCTCGTTTCAACAATAATTTTATATCTTAAGCCTATGGATAATTTAAGCGTCCTCGGAGATTTTCGAAATTAGTAAAAATGTCCTCGTTTTTACCGGTTGAATAAATTTAAAAAAACACGAAAATAGGAGAGAAAATTAGAGACTAAAATGAAATTTGTTTTTTCAAAATAAATAGCATCATCCGGAATATGCATTTTCCGTCCATATCAGCTGCTTTATGGACCTTGACATTTCAATGCGAATTAGTTAACATTTTCATTCAAATTTAAGAGCCCGTAATTCTTTTCTGCCCTTGTAAATAAGCACATGATTTTTTCTGCGATTATTTATTTGTCAAAAAAAAAAATTGCAAAAATTCTCTTGTCTTATATGGCAATTCTTTTTAGGGCCATTCGCAATAACAAAGACAGTGTAAGCAGCAAGAATAAAATGTATCCATTCGATAATCAAAACAGTCGATAAAATGTTGTTGAAATAAAAATAATTACATTAGTAATCCCGAACTTTTCCGTACCGTTGGCCTGCATTGTCCGTAGGTACTTTTATGATACTTTAAATAATAAAAATAAAATGAAAAATCGGTCACTTTAACTAAAACTTCGACAATTCTGTATGAGAGGTACCCGTAAACCGATTCTTATTGGCTTTAAACTTTCTGAGTTTTCATTTTTTGTAGAAAAAATAAGATTCTGAAAGTTTCATGTTGATCGCATTTGCAGAAGTTTTTTTTTCCAAGAAAATGTCGACAAAATTTGGGGACAAAAAATCAAACTTCTGCAAATGCGATCAACATGAAATTTTCAGAATCTTATTTTTTTTTCCAAAAAATGAAACCTCAGAAAGTTTGAAGCCAATCGGAGTCGATTTACAGGTACCTCCCATACAAAAGTGTCAATTTTTTGAGGTTTTTCCTAGGGCAAGTACCCCAGGGTCAAATCGAAAATGGCTCATCTTTGAACTTAAACTAAGTTTATTGGATACAAAACTTTTGGCATTTCCAGATTTTGATTATCTCAATTATTTTTTGAGTTATCGTGTTAACAAACAGCTACGACGACGACAACGACAACGACGACGACGGCACATGAACGGAAAAGTGTCTCAAAAAGTGGTTTTCTACGCGTTTCATGAGTTTTTATGATGATCTAAGCTAATTTGCGAAAAAAGTTTTCGGGACCAATTCCTTTACTTTCCCTTGACACGTTGTGTACGGAAAAGTAACATATTTCGATCTTCGAAAAACTTGTGACAGTTCTTTCTAAAAAGTGAATGATAATAATCAAAATTCAGTACCCCACCCTATTATTCAATGAATAATATTCATGAAATTCCAAAAATTGAAAACGTCTCCTTTTTTTCTTAATCGAGAAAACGTCCTCGTTTTTCTTGAAAATAATCTGTGCACCTTACCTATGGAGGATGAATTGGGAAATTCTTAAAAGAATATCAAAACAAACAATATTGTCATAAATTCGAATAAATTATCGTGGACATCTCAGACGTCGGATGTCTAGCAAAAAAATGGCAGAATCTCTGTGATATTTATGACGTCGCGGACGTTTTACCAGTTCCATATTATAATAACAATATTCTTAGTTGAGTAATTAGGGAATTTTTTGATAGATTGACTGACACACACACAAAAATCAATCAATTAAGTAATGGCTTAAGTTCAACGATCCCTCGAACGAATCGATTGTTATGCGAGTGCACTTTTGAGCTGGATGTTGGAAAACTTAACGCATTTTAGTTTGGTAATTACAAAGGAGTTCGGCTTCAGAAATTTGCTCCAACGATGTTGATGGCGTTAATGATGATAACGCACGGGAAGAAAAGTTCAAACGAATTTTCGGGTATGCATATTTTCGTCAATTTTCATCGTGATTTAGAACTCACATGTGATGTAAATACAGCATGTTTTTCATTCGTTTCGCTTCCTATAAATAGTTTTTTTTTATCCAAGATCTTTTTCTATGTGTGAGAAATTGACTTTTAATGGGCTTTCGCCTAACTTCTCGGCGTTGTTGACAATAAAATTCCAAATCGAAATAGTTATTACCGGCAGATGTTCAATCGTATTTTTTAATTGAAAACTTGTGCGCACATTATAAAAGTCATTGGTTTTTAAGAGCGTTTTCTAAAAATCAGATTGACTTTTCTCGCCTTTTTTACTTTATCCCTCTTCTTTTTTATTTTTCAATGTCGAAGTATGAAACATCTTCTTGCGTTTGCGTAGGTTTGGCGCATATACAAAATATCTAAATTCCTTAGTTAGTAATGGTTTCTGAAACGAAAATAGATTTGTCAACACTTTGGATTCGTACAATATTTCTAGAATGTATAGGTACAGTGTTTCTATTTTGCGTGGCAACTATTTAGTGAGAACGAAAGAACGACTTTTTTTTACAGAAAAATATTGAATTGAATATTGCCTTTTATCCTTTATACGCCTGATAACATATGGATGCAACACATGTCAATCAGCACTTTGTTCTATACTCTATTCAATTTAAAATCACTTCCTCACTCAATATTTCGCAATGACCTTGTGATGGTTATAAAATTAGAATGAGTGAATCTTAAGTGGGGATGACTGAATAAAATTCGCCAAAGTTTTTTTTACGATCGATACCTTCTCGCCTGAGAAGAATGTTCTTTGAATTTTTACACGATGAAATAATGTAGAACAGGCATTTTATAACATGAAACTCAAAACATGTTATCGGTGGAGTTGTTTTTTTTCTATGACGTGTGAAATGAACCGAATTTTAATTTAAGCATTAAACCAGCCAAAAGGAGAACAAGATGAATTTTATAATATTGCGACGCATACTCAATCATATTGTGACGATCTCTAACATCAGGGAAAAAAAGAGAAAAATCTATTCCAGAACATTATTTGGTTGCATGTTATTGGGCTGCAAATCTCACCAAAATTAAGAATTTATTCACGTTCAATGAATATGAATATGGATATGAAAAAGAGCATCTTTAATTTTTGTGACTGACCGATAGAAAATTCTGTTTGACACCTATGGGGGCGTTGAAAATATGTAGACGAGTTGCCGTTTTGGTTTTGATTGTATCTAAATAGTTTTATTGTGCCAACAATGTGTGATTCTAAAGTGTCCTATCGTAATCGATAGTGAAACTAGCAAATCCAACATTTTTTGTTCAATTTTCATTTAATGAATAGTGGAAAATGATGCAGGAATAAGAAACGATAGTGATGAACACATGTATTGTATTTGTAGCATTGTATGTTAAATTTCATTCATGAAACCTGAGACGGTGAAACAAATAGCCGGCTAGCCTTGTTGTTAACAAATGCATATTCATAGCATGTTTACATGTGATGATGGTCATGAAACAAGGAAAAACACAATCGCGACTAGCATAGTTGCAATGGCTTTGAAACAACGTGAATTTGGCTGTTATTAACTTTCGCTATCAAATCTATTCAACCAAACAGCAAATCAAACCGAAACAATACGAAATTACAGTACATGCTATTGATTTGCCAAATTAGGGACAAACAATGTAGTTTTGGTATCGTTGTTGACATTCATATTCTCAGTCGGTATGTGTGCGCTGCACACATATGATAGTCATGATTCAGTCGTTTGATAAGATTCTGATAACAATATTAACTCTTGTATTAGGGACCTTTTTCATTCGATTTTTAATTTTTTTTTTCAATTTGGCCTGTTATGTTTTTGTTGTTCGTCGATTTTAAATCAGTTGAAGTAACTATTAAACGGAATGATATTGATGTGAACTAGAAAAGTCAATGTGCGCGTCTTTGATTCTGTCTCACAACCGAAAAAATCAAACAGGTACGAAATAAAAAATGACTCACCACTAAGCAGAATGACAAAATCGATGGAAACGCGAGTCATAACGCGTCTCGTGTCACTCATTATGAATGATTTTGGATTGAATGCTTGCTGAGAGTTGGGCTCGCTGGTATCTCCTCGACTGCTGTCACTGCCGACTGGATGATTATTATTGTTGATTGACATGTATTCGCTGAAATCGGTCGATTGCAAACGATTTGATGCAGATGTAGCTGTAGCTGCTGCTGCTATTTGTGGCTGTGTTCGAGAATAATTGCTTCGTCGTAACGGTGTTAATTCACTCGGTTCGTAATTCTGACTCATTTAAAATGCTCATCTTTCGTCGATATAAGCGTTATGTATTCCGGCAGTTTTTGTTGTGTCTGTTTCTCTCATCCACACTTTCACACACACACAGTTCACTTGTAGACTAACTTCTTCTCCGCAAAACAATAAGCATCTAATTTGTGTTACGTTCTATGAGATAGAGATAAAATACACGAATTGATATACGATGTAAACGCGAGATCAAGCACAATTGTTGTGTGTGAGATACTGGTGTCCGTCAACTTATATTCAAACGCAAAAAAAATATACAACACGACACGACTACAAATATCACGGAATATTATCCAAACGGTTGTTGATCAAACGAAACAAACAAACGAAGAAAATGAAAAATGAACAGAAAAGAGTAGCCACGAAATGAGGTGTCCAATATTCAAATAATAAAATTGTGTGTTGGCGGAAATGAGAAAGAAATCGAAACAAATACAACGATTCTCACAAGTTTCGTTTGTGCGCGCTCGCTCGCTGAGTCATACAAACACGTTCAACAATACCACCTGGGTACCTTTATTTATTTATTTTTCTTCTACGAACACACGAAATATTCTCTCTACTTCTGTGTGGTGATATGTAGAATATGATTTAGCAAAATGTCTTGTCAGTTTTTTTAGTCCAAATTGTTGCTATTGTTGTCTTCGTTATTTATTTCGAAAGCAAGTTGTTCTCATTTCTCCTTCACATGGACGATTCTATCAGAAAACTCAAATCAAAATGATGCACGCGTCACAATCTTTCGAATCTCTTGATTGAAGATATTACAACAAAGATTAGCTGCAATTTATGTCGATTACTTTTTTTGTATCGTTTATCACTGGACTTGATTATACATCAAGCTTTGGGAAATCGTTGAATTATTGAACAATTTATTGAAAGGTGAACACCCGAACTTTCATTGTTCGATTGGAACTATACAATTTTTGATGGCGGCCAAATCGCTTGAAGCTATTTTCTTGCATGAATATTGGTGATCCTCGCTGTGTGATTTGATAAAATATCGTCTTTAGTGTTTTGATTGTTCCACGTCTTCGCTTTTTCAGACTGGTATTTTAGTTTCGTCGATGAACAACCTGTAATAGTAAACACAATCGCTTTTATTAGAAACAGGCCCATTATTATTTACGGAATCAGTTATACGAACGAGAGGAAAAAAACATTTACATATTGGACAAAACGGAGCCCGTCTGAAACGAGTCTATGGATATTTGCTAATTATTTCTATCAACATGCTCAGGTTAATAGAACTAACATTATATTTCGTTTGGTAAATATGATCTTAATGGAATCTATTTTCACAAAACAAAATATACAGAATGTTTATGTTAAGAGGCTGTCAGAACAATTTCGGCAGTTTTAAAAGTTTAATTTATCATCATATATATGTTGACCTTTCTTCTGACATTTGCCTAGAGATTTCGATAGACAATTTATGAATTTACAAATGTTTACATTATATTTTTCTTATTTTCTCCCATATTTTTTTCTTCTCAAAAATGAAAAGTAAGAAGGCTTCACTTAAATTGAACAAAGCTAATTTCTTGTTGTTTCATTTTGCTAATTTGCATTAATGTGGATTACTATGGGATAAAAACTAGGGGCTTTTAAGTCAAAATATACATTCGTATTTGTGTGAATATTTCGTGAATATTGCATATAATCCGTGTATATCGTGTATATATTCACGAAAAATATTCACCATATTCACAGAATATACACAGCATGTAAAAAATATGTATTTACGGCAATGTCGAATCTTTGTTACCGATCGTGAATATGAGGTGTATATTTCATGAATATCGTGTATATTCCGTGAATATGGTGCATATTTTGCCAGTATTGTGAATATTTCGTATGACTGTCATCTATGGTGTATATTTCTTGGATGGAATATACATGGAAGCCCCTAGAATAAAAATAAGCAAAATCGTTCGAAAATTCATAAGTCAGCTCATATTACTGGAATTCGTTTTTTTGTTCATCCGAAAGTGATGAAAAGACATGAATTCGATTATTTGCAGAGGAATGCGTTAATTTTAGTTTTTATTCTGGTTTCGGTCCATTAAATTCCGGATAGCGAAAGGAAAACATTTGTTTTAACAATATGCTTGAACAAACATCAATACGAAATAGAGCCTTGCTGATATGTTGTGCAAACAATCTCAATTCTGATCTGTTGAAGTTTTGAATTTGGGAATTTAGTCACGTATTTTTGAGCATTCTTGTTCTAAACCGAAATTCTTTAAACTATGGAAAGAATTTCTTGAAAAAAATCCATTAAATGGCAAATTATGAATAACGCTTAATGTTTGATGAAAGATCCCAGGCCGTGTAAGAGAGTTGCACTTCCCACAAATCGTACTTCAAATGTAGAACTGATGTGAAATGAGGCAAGTACGCCGTAAATCAATCGAAATGCACACAGACACACACAATTTATGAGGAGGGTGACTAACGACAACAAAAAGCGGACTGACCCAAAATTCACTAACATTCTGTTACATATGTTTTTTGTTCTCCGATTTATTCCATTTGAACTTTTCCGTTGTGCTCTAATTTTTAATGGAAATTGCGTTTCCCTATTAATAACGCATGTTTGAAAAAAACCAGCGAAAACAAAAAAACTTTTTCAGAAATGTTTGTGCCTCTTTTCTACGTCGTTTGATCGGGAAAGATTGTGAATTTTATTTGAAAAAAAAAGGTGTCAATATAGCAATTTAAGTGCATTTTGTTATCTGTATGAAAAGATAATTCAATGAAACCACATTACATTGTGTATATAGCGCAATAATAAATTATATTCATCACATGCACAGATTGCAAACGTAATCAAAGTTTCGACCATTATTTGCTGAAGCGCAAACGAAAAGCCCATTAATATTGCCTTTCAATCGTATTTCTTTGGTGAATATTTGTAAATAAATAATTTTATGATCACTTTCATGCATTCGTCAAGACATGAAGCAAATAAAAGAAAAAATTGTAAAATGTCATTCGTCTTAAGGAAAATGTTTGACAAAAAGTACGAACCATAGTAACAACATGGAAACCTTTCAAAGAGACGTCGAAGCAAAGCATTCTAATCGTCTGGCCGACTTGAGACACACACGTTGTGTGATCATTCATAATTTGATATATTTCGAGTGCACTCAATCAGAGACATAAAGAAACATGATCTTCTACTACACAGGAGATGCATTTTTGCATTGATCGCAGCAAAAAAATGCGAAGATACATTTTAAACAAGTTATAATTGTTGTGTGTGTATTTTGTGTATATTTTTTCTCCGTTGTCATTTGATTTGATACCACATGTTGGGAGTGCCGCACAAAGAGATTTTGAAGAAAGGCAACATGCGAAATGATGAAACGGCTGCTCCTTTTCCTTACTAAGTTAAAAAAAAACTTGAACATTTGCAGAACAAATTTCCTAAGTTTCGTTGTCGTATGTTTATATGAACGATAAAAAGTGAGAGAGAGAGAGAGAAAGATAAGGATATAGGACGAGGAATAGTATGCGGTAAGAGAAGTAGAAAATGAACAAACGGCCGTGACGAAGATACTAAATGACACTAGATCATGTATTATCGTATCAATAGAATGTTGCAAGAGAAATTCCTTATGACCCATGAGCTATGCAAGGCCCATACAAGGCCATGTCACATGAACCATTTTTTTGTCCTGTTTTGGTTGAATTTTATTTGAATTTTCATCAACACACCTTTATTCACATTCAACGGAAATTTCCAGTGAAATTACTATGAAAAAAGACAAGCACAAATAATTAGTTTTTTCTCATAAAAAACAGAATTGAATATGATTTTTCGACTAGAAATGTTGTTTCACATCGAATCGGAGAATAAACCAAATGGATAATTGTGTTTTGCACGTTTATTTTCGAAGAAAGTCAATTGTTTGTTTACATAGAACAAACCAATGAAAAAATGAATATTGATCGGTTTGACGTTTCTGTGATTGGACGCATTTGAAGAAATTGTTCACTAATTCAATGGACACGGCGCTCCAATATGATAACATTCTACCTGTATGCTAGGCGAATAAAACAATAACACATTGGTCCAACTGATTAATGTCAATATTCGCTATGTTATTCATTCCAACCACAACGGAATGTCACTATCAGCTTTCATAAACATTCACACATATACACAATTCACTGTTAATTCACTTGGTAACTACATCATAAAAATAAATATCGAACTCCATCGATCCGGGTATTTTTTTTCCTTCAGTGATCCAAAAATCCGTGTACAAATCAATTGACATTGAATCGAATATTGATTTTAAGACATGAACATGCGATGTGAAAAAAACCCAACTAAATTTATAATTGTTATTGACACGTGATAATTTTAATAGTTTATTGAAACGCGCGCTTTGTTTGTTCAATTGAATTTTGCGGCTTTCAATCACGATAAAATCCCAATTCGATAGATACATTTTATTTTGCATGAAATAAATTGTCAGAAAATGCCAAATGGTACCTTTTTCCTTGAAGAAATTATTTGCATGCAATACAGCAACATAAAATGAAAAACCTCCAGAAAACTGCTATCGAATATTTTGAACACTGTTTGTTTTGGAATTGAAAATACGTATGATTTATCCAATGTGTAAGAAGTGTTGTACTACGATGCAGATAACTGTGCGCTGCGCAACCGCTCACATTAACGACAATACATCAACTAAACCCGTAGTGCTTGACTTTGACATTTTTCTGTCTTCACTCTAAGCACTTATTCTGTTCTACTGGGAATTGTGTGTATATATCAGTGTGCCACCGCACACACGCACTACTCCGCAAGCATTCGCATCGGAGCGTATTTAATGCTGCTTTGCACAGCGCTTAGCTGGTTATGTGTATTCATTTTGGTTGTGCAGTGTGTACAGTGGATCATATATATTTACAGTATCATACCGTGTACATGTGCGCTTGGACTTTTTCGCAATAAAAATGAGAAGCGTTTTTGTTTAGCTTAATTTGATTCAGATACGCCAAATCATATAGGATTTTCAGAAGTCAATATTCATATAATAGCCATAGGTTAATGAATCGAAGCCAAGAGGAGTTTCGAAGTATCACTTGCTTCGACTTTTTAGTAAAAGGCGATACGCTGTACCTTTTCTGTTTTTTTAAAGTTTTCTCCCTTTTTCGACGTTGTTGTTTGCTTAGGATTCATTGTACTTAAATTCGATTAAATCAGTTCTCATTCGCAAAGTAGCTGTGCGACCATTTAAACAATAATAAAACCCATTTCAGACGAAAAATTGTATAGCCGAAAACGACATTCAATATTGCATTGACCAAATGAAAATAGAAACACATTTTCTGCAATTCCTTTTTCGTCGGCGGCACTCTTTACATCCAACATTTTACTCTTGACAGATTGAAATGATCGTAACGAACTGTATTTGTCTCCCAATTCCAAGTTCGGAATGATTTATTTTTAAAAAAATACATTTATTACCGCATTAATTGACTTTGTTGCAAAATTTTCAATAGGACCAGACATTATGCATTGAAAAAAGGAAAAAAAAACAAAACTAGTTTTGGTTATTGTTTTGGCTTACATGTTTTAACACAAAAGCATTTTATAGAAATTGTATCACACAAATATAGCAACTAATTGTACACATCAAAAATTGTTGGTGTAGAGTGAGTCCGTTCGTACGAATCAATTTTGCTTAGTTGGCGTTTGCATCATTTTGTGATGTTTCGCTCGATAAATTCTCTGATTTACGAATCTGAAGTACGGTCACCACACCTGAATCATCGTTGAATTTACAGGTTACTGTTACTTCACCTAGTAACTGAAATGTAAAGATCTGGGACCCATATCGAGTTTTAAGATAGACCGACCGCGGATCATTTTTCAATACCTCTACTACATTCTCCTAGAATTGTGATAAATGGATAAGATTGATTAGATGGTAGCTTTATTTAATCTACTCAATTTTCTGTTTTTTGCAGAAATACTCACTCGATTAATTTGAAACTCGTTGGATATGTTTAGCTCGTTGATTTGTTGAGTGGCTCTGTCATTGAACACTACCTCCATTGTAGTATCAGCTAAAATCCAATTTGGTACTTTGACCGTTTCGGAGGTAGCTGCTGGAACGGTGCTCGGTGATGGGCTTAATTGCAAAAGCTGCGGCTGTACATCGCGTGATATTGTCTCCTCACCGTCAGGCTCTTCGCGTGCATCAAATCCTTGATTCTCATCTTCCGTTGACACTGAATGATTTTCTGTAAAATAGACGTTTGAAAAATGATTTTATTTCTCTTCAAATGCTTGTTTTCTTCTAAATTATTGTTGATAAATCGAATAAAATTTATTGGTGGTATTTCGTTGGAAATGATAAGTTAATGGGAAAAATAGAGTTTTTCTTCTATAGCGTTTCTAAAAAATGGTGCATTTGAATCTGAATGTTTTCGTTTACTATGGCCTTTTTATTTAAAGTTGCACGTATTGATTATTTGTACAATACCTGTTAATCGATTTCGAATGGGGCTATCGTATCGTGGGATATAAGGTTTCAGATCTAAAATTGGAGACCTATTATCGTTAGGTTCATTTGGTTTCAGATCTTAAATTGTTTTATTGAATGTTGACCGACTTTACCCAAAACAGGAGTTCCATCGCACATATCAGTACCTAGAAAGTGGATTTGGCTATTTACAATCTTGTCTATTTCAACCAGTGACATTCCTATGGGGCATGGTCGATGCGGTGAGCGAGTACTGAGTGACAAAGAAATGGGTGGTTGAAATTTAAAAAAAGTACTTGAAATATACATATATTTTTAATTTACATACTCAAGTGAGCAAACATACCTAAAAATGCCAACTCTTTCTCCAGCCAGTCGAGGTGGAGCTACTTTTGCCTTGGTATGTGAATCATTCTTGTGAAAATGGTAAATAATCCACAAATGTGAAAATTCACACAGTCGTTCGAGTGAGTGTTCTGCTGCTCAGAATAAAAACGAATTGAAATGAATGAAACAAGCAACAAATCTTGCGACAACATCAGAAAATATTTGATGCTCACGATTATTGAAAACGTCTTTGTTGAGTTCGATGTATCCCGATAGCTTGGAGCAAACACTGGGTTGTCTTGGAACTGCCCGTTTCTCCGGGAAATCCGTTCGAATTACACCAATTGGTTTAAAAGTAATTGAGTTTTGGTCTTTATCGCTTGGTTCCGATTCAATCGACCGAGTTGCTGATGAGCTATCTCTTTGTTGTTCCTTACACCCATTACATTTAAAGTCGGTCAACAAATTTTTTATGATTTTCAAATCCGTTTGGTGAATGTATGACAACGAGTGAATTTGTTTTCTAGAAAAATAATAATTTTCATTAATACTTGGAGGACCATTTGATTTTGATTTTCTTAGCAGTTACCGCAAATTCTTGATTTCATTACGAGCCACCGATAATTGTTTCTGCAACTCAAGTGCAAGATTCGCTGTCATTTTATAACTCAATTATGTGCGTCGAATAAGTTTATTTTGTTCACCAATTTTTTTCCCCAAAGTTCTCAATTAGATCCAAAATTTGTCATTTGCTATTCCCTTCGAATCAAATGTTTGCAATTTTGTTTGACATTTCTTAGTTTCATAGCGATGGATTTAAAAGCATTTGACAGAACCAAATGAGACCAAGTAATGCAAACATTTCAGTCGTACATAGAAGAGATTCTTTTTGAACTTTGAATATACAAAAATTTAAATCAAATCGTTTTTTTTCAATTTCTCTTGCTTGGTTATCATTCTTTTTCTCAAATTATAGGCTAATACGGATTCAAGAGAAAAATGAATTCTAAGATCATTTAAAATGGATACGCTCAATGATGTGTCGGACAGTGACAATAGCGCCAGCGGCACAATATGAAAGCAAAAGTGCGAAACGAGTGGCACTGTCTGCAGCATTCATAGGCAGACATATTGAAATTGAGAAAACATTATTCATTCTTGTAGCAGCCGTCTATTAGTCAAGCGTCGTGTTGAAATTTGCGTCTTTTAAGCTTTGCCAAATAAAAAGTAAAAGTTGTAAATTTATTTGAAATCGTTTGAATTTCCGTGAAAGAGAGATTGAAAAAAAAGAAGTGCGACAAAATGGTTGACAAAATTGAAATGAGTTTGGACGACATCATCAAGACCAACAAAATTGGATTCCGTCGCGGTGGAACAACAAAGAAACAAGTGAACGGAGCTGGCGGTGGAAATCGTCGCAAGGCTGGTGGAAAGCCACCGCAAAAATTCCGTGGAACGGCCAATCGTCAAATTGGTAAACCAAAAGGACGCTCATTTGGTGGCGCACCAACCCGCAAATTTACCAGGGTAAGAAAGAGTTGAGATGATGAAATCGTGACAAAGAGAAATTGATGAGATGAGATGATGACCATTGCTAACTGACCCACACTGATGACCAAATCTAAATGTGGAATGTATGTGCTAATTAGTCACGCGAGAAATTGATCGAAACAACGAACAACTCCACAAAATATCGCACAGATGAAATACCAATATATATATCTATATATATAAGAATTGTGTTCATAATAATGATTTCTGCGATCGATGGTTTGGCAACTATTTCGGCGCAATTGTGCGTTAACGAAGGTTTCTGCACGAAAAAAAAAAATGAAAAATAGTCATACAAAATCAATCGATTTTTCATTTGCATTCGTTGTGTATTGTGTTTTCAAGAAGGCGAAACTAGCAACAAATTTTGCGACAACATCAGAAAATATTTGATGCTCACGAAAAATAAAAGCAAAGCGTGCAACCAAAAATGAAATACAAAATGGCTGCTATTCAATAGAATTGAAATTTCGTTGGCTTGTTGCTACGTTGTACGTATATACGTACCGACAGACAAAGAAAAACCAATATGTCGGCCGTTGCAAACACATTCGATTACGAATTATGACGAAATATAATGAATAATCACAATACGAACACTGAGTTATTCGATTTAGTGAAATGATAAAGCATCAAGACGAAAAAAAGACTTTATTCATCGTTGAAACGTCAACAAAATATTCTTTTGGAATTTTAAAATCAAAGTATGAATTCGTTCTTTTTTGTTCTTGTCGACGACATACGAATGGCGGACATTATTGAATTATTGCAGTGCGCGTATTTAAAAGAAAGGAAGAAATCACAAACAAATAAATAATATATCCATATAGCGTGCAAATGTATATGAAACGGATTTTTTTTTACTGCGTTACCAGTGAAATTTGGTTTTTTATTTCAATTTGTATTGTCGTTGCCGTAGTTGAGAGAAATTAGTTTATAGAGAATAATTTTTGTTTGTTTGTTTGTTTCGCTCACCAAAAAAAAAACAAGCGAATCATGAAGACTCTGATTATCTTATTGTGATTGTGTGTATAATGATTTTTTTTTTGTTTCATCGTTACAAAAAATGGAATAAGCCATCTGAAAGTTGTGTGAAGTTTGGCGTTAAAGTTCACACAAAGTAAAGAAGAAAGAAAAATCTCTTTTGCGAAAATCACAAAGAAAGAGAAAAAATGAAAGAAATATTCCCATCTACCTATTCTGATAATTCAAAGACTGTTCCGTCCGATTTAATTTGAAGCTGGAAAAGAAAAAGGAGAGAAAAAGAGTCTAATAAAATGAAACCAGTTGAAGAATATTGTGTGATGGCATGAAAAAAATCCAATAAACAGTTGAAATAGATCATAACAACCACACAAACACACACACACACACAAAATCATTACTTTCGCTTAGCAAGCGAAATGAACATTAAATTTCCGTGTTCAGTTCTCAACAATCAGATGTTTGCTGGAGATAGAAAAAAATCAGATGAGAGTTAAATTACGGCGTCGCTATCCTCATCGAATAATTCGAAATTGTGATCATGTGTATGTGTTTCAGTTAATTCATTTAAAGTTATTAAAAAGGGTTTGAAAACATAAAGAAATGGAAAGTTAAAAATGATAAAAAAATGAGAAATTATAAAATCTGAAAAATGAAATAATGAAGAAAAAAAATTATTTAGAAAGTTGTTGAATGAAGAAAGCTAGTGAAAATGAGTAAAATATAAAGTTTAATATTTTTATATCTCACGTTCATCAATATTCACATAAGAGAAAGATCAAAATTATGCGCGTTTGAATAGTGTAGCTGTTGTTAAGTCGGTGTTATACAATTCATCATTATGTGCGGCGGGCAAAAAGCATCCAAGTGCACACTTAAATCAGGTGTTTTCATGCTTTTCCGATTAATTTAAAGCTTATTTTTATTACGTTCGTTTCAATAGATTTCTCTCGAAACATTGTTAATCTCACACATTTTTAAATGAGTTCGACTGAATTAAACTGAATTGAATCTTCCGACAAACCGAAGAGTCCAGTATTCGAAAGCCGATGGTGTGATTTCGACGGGATTGTTGGCGATATTGGCAATTTGTTCTCAAGCTCTCAATAACCTCATCAACGATGAATCAGCACGCACAGATCGCGCGACTAAAGCCAAATAAGAAATTCTATTGATGAGAAATAAAAGCATGACGAACAAACTGCATTCATTCACTCTCACACACTTCTCTACGCGAATTATTCGCATCTGAATGTCCGTAATCGTGCCTGCATTGCTCCAAATCTAAGTGTGGGACTGGAGCTGTGCGTGTCTGTGTGTATGGCGGTGGAAATGGATCCAACACTTATCTCGAATATCGACTCGAAACTACACATTATTTAAATACCCCCAATAGCAATCAAATGACAATTCCAAAAAAACACAAATCCAATAATTCTAGGGCGATGTGAACGGCGCATGGAAACATGATATGTTTGAGGGTGGCAAAAAGCAACTGTTGCGCGGTGCCGTTAATGGATTGATCAACAGCGGTTCGGCCAAATTATTGGTCTCGAACTTGGACTATGGTGTCTCCGAAACTGATATTCATGAATTGTTTGCTGATTTTGGACCATTGAAAAGTGCATCAGTTCACTATGATCGATCCGGACGTTCACTAGGTAAGCATATATATATATAATCATTCAAAATTTTTAATGATATAAAAAAATCATAGGCAAAACGCGCTCTGCAAAACAGAACTAATACAGAGTTTATGCATGTATTGTAAAATCGAATTGCCATTATATATCAATTGGTGAGATATGGAACGAATAACAAATTTGTGACTTGAGCAAAGTTGTTCAAATAGAGGTGCTCTATGAGTTTCCTGCAGACGGTTACCTCTTGAAAGACAAAAAGGCGTTGTTTGTGCGCGTTTTGCGTGCAACTGATAGGAGATAAAAGAAAACTTTTTGCAGCAAATAAGAGGACCTATTTTTGAACAACTTTATCCAAATACTTTTCTTTCAACGCAAATGGGACCAGCATAAAAAATATACTTCACTTTATTTTCAAACCTATAATTCGAAAAAAAACATACTTCGTTTTACGTCTCACAAAAAGATATTTTTTTTATCAAAAGCTGAAATGAATACGGTTTTGAATGATTTAAAAGAAAAAACAAGTGTCTTAATAGAAACCGTTTGATTTGATTCATTTAGGAACGGCTGATGTTGTGTTTGAACGACGTGCTGATGCCGTAAAGGCAATGAAGCAATACAATGGTGTTCCTCTCGACGGCCGACCAATGAATATTCAGTTGGCAACATCAGAAGTACCACAACCAGCAGTTCGCACTCCCCGCCCAACATTCGGTCAAAACAGAAACAACCAAAGTCGCCCACAGCGAAAACCAGGTATGGAATTCATTTCATTCTGATTGGGTAGTGTGAAATTTTTTTTCCCGAAATGTTGAAATAAAAATGACAATGACTCACTATATCTTTCTTTCTTAAATTAGCAGGCCCACGACAGGGTGGTGGTGGTGGTGTTGGTGGTAAACGTGGCGGCAATCGTGCAAACGCGAAGCCGGTTTCAGCCGAAGAACTGGATGCCGAGCTTGATGCTTACGTCAACGATATGAAGCTGTAAATTAGGGAATTAAAAACATGTTTGGCGTGAACGAACATAAAGCATTCAGCAATCTTCAAAAAAATCACACAACTCTAAAATTACATTTAGAACTTCATATTAGGCAATAAGACTTACTAATTATAAAATCAAATTTATGATAATTTTTTGAAAGCAAATGAAGTAACAACAATAACAAACATATATGTTGGTTAGCCGTTGTTAACAACATACCCAGCAACACTATCAATAAACCGACACCTAGAATGTTCTTGTTTAAATACAATACAGCTAAATTTGCTCCAAACTTCAGTTTACTACAATTGTGGATAGAAAAATCCAATTACTTTAAGGATAGTGTACAACTTAGAGCCATTTTGAATTTTTCCTTCGAAGACAAGGAATTATACAACCAATAATGAGAAAAAAAGATGTGCTATTACAAGAACATGCTATTACATTCATTAGTTGACAAGTTAAACTGAAAAACAGTGTCTTTTGAAATTTTCGCGATTACGAATTTGAAAAGCCGGCAATTTTTTTTCAATGAAATCTGTTTATTGTTCCCTTCGATTTTTTTTCAAAGTGCAGCAAATAATTCATGTCATCACAGTTTCATTCAATTTCATTTTATGAATGTAGTTATAAAGTAATAAAATAATAATGTAATGATTCAAATTGTTCATGTTTTTGTTCATGTATTGATCCAAAGAGAATGAACTGAATGGTAAGAGTATATTTTCAAATTCATTTCTTCTAATTTTGAGGTTAAAAATGACTGAAACTACACACTAATGCGAGCCCAAATTCAACCGTTTACATACGCTTGGTAATGGATGTATTTGCGTAACAATTGCTCCTTGGGTAGTTATAAAGTAAGACAACACAAAATGTTGAAAAACAAGAAATCTTTCGAAAATGATACTAAAATGAAACCATGGATACAACTGAATATTAAAAAAAGATCACCTCAGATCTGGTACAAAAATAAAATTGTGTTTGAATTTGTTTTATTTTTAATCTCATCAAGATTGACTTTGTCCAGGTAAAAAAGGTAAGTAAATGAAATATGAAAACAATAACATATTTTTTTCAAGTATCAATCCTTAATATATCCTCATTTGCATTTTAAATTATATATGGTGGATGCATAAATTATAATCTAACTCGTTTTTATGAAAAAAGAACTTCTAATTCAAGTTTAAACTCATAATATACGTGTCAAGTCCATCTTCAGTGACACATTTGAGACAGCCATATGCTAATTTTATTAGCAATTTATTTGCAGAGCATTGACATTGCTATCTGCCTCGCCACTACTGTTCAACAGCGGCTCTTGATTACGTGCCTATGCGACACCCTGCAAGTCTTGCACGCCAATATGGACAGACATGAACATTGAACATGCACAACCATTCGCTTTGTATGAGTTGACGCGCGAGTTTTGTAGTGTGTGGCATATTTAATCAAAGCAACCAATAGCCGCTGTTGAGCAACAGCGGCTGGCCAGGCAACAGATTCACAGCTCTGTTTATTTGCATTCGCGAAGCTAATTCTGGTTCAATTTCAATCTACCTTGATCAAGTAGCAAATGACATGCTTTTAAAGTGTCAGGGATTTGTCTTGGTAATATAAATGTACGATGATTCGTATGTGTTCTTGAACCAAATCACACAAAATTATTCTAAAAGAAGCCAGAAGAAGGGTAATTGTTGTTTTAACCCTAGACTATTGTCTACTAATTATATTTGTGTGCAATGCATCGGCAATGTCTGTTTTCTTTTTTGCCTATCTATTATTCGCAAATATTTACGAATATAATTTTCTGCAATGTTTACCTAATTATTCGATTGAGTCTTTGTTTACAATCACAGATCGGTCAAGTAGTTTAGCTTTTTCTCATTCTCATTTTTAATTGTTTTTATTTCAAAGTTGTTCTACCACATAAATATAATATTGCATTTGCAATTCAATGTGAACGTTTCTCCAGTGCAGCGATCGTGAGCAGAAGGCACCTGTAAATTGTTCTTCTTTGATTCAGTACGCAATTGTCATCAGTTTGAATTTGACCGTAGTCAGTTAAACAGTATAGAATTACTCAAGAATAAAAAAAACAAAGCGTGCATTTTATTTATTTAAAAAAAAAATGATTTTTTTAACGTCGGTTCTTTTGCTGGGTATCACAGTGGCTTTTTGCCTATGGATTGAGATAAGAAAATGGTATTTGAATTGCACAAAATTACGAGCATATTCAAAGCTCAAAGAGGTTCCCATTTTTGGGATTGGTGGCCGTTTCATTGGACAAGACAATGAGGCATCAATGCAGTCGATTGAGAAACTATTCTACGAAAAAGAACAACCGTTTGCTGCTTGGTTTGGTCCAACAATTGCCATTGGAATCGATGATCCCGAAGATATGTACACAATTTTGAACGCCGACCAATGTTTGGATAAACCATACTTATACTCGCATCTGAGAAATGAAACTGGTCTCTTTTCATCCGGCAAGGAGTTGTGGAAACAACATCGTCGTGCTCTGAATCCAACATTCAATACAAAAATTATGAATAGTTTTATTCCCACATTTAATAGAAAAGCAAAGATTTTGGTACAACAATTGGAAAAACACATCGGCACTCCATTCGACATTTATCGGCCAGTTTTCAAAGCATTAACCGATATGATTATGAACACTGGGCTGGGTATGAATTGGGAATTGCAAACGAAACGCGGCGATGATCTGCACGACATTTTTATCGAAGTCATGAGCTCATTTCAATCAAGAGTCGTACGCTTCTGGTATAAATGGGACTTTGTATACAATTTAACAAAGGCTTGCAAACGAGAATTGGTTTTACTAGAGCAGGGATATCGTGTATTGCGTAGCGTACGCGAGGTGAAGGAAATTGAATTAGCAGACAAATTAGAAAAAGGTGATGACATATTGGAAAAATCCAAAGCAGAAAATTCATTAACATGGATCCAAAAGTGTTTCTTAATGTATCGTGAAGGAACGTTCACCGAACAAAATTTAATCGAGGAGATTGATACGATTTTCGTGGGTGGCACCGATACAACTACTACAACAATTTCGTGTACGTTGATAATGCTGGCCATCTATCCGGAATTTCAAGAAAAAGTGGTTGCTGAATTGCATGAAGTATTTGACGATGTTGATAGTTCGGTTACGTATGAGGATGTGTCTAAATTAAATTATTTGGAGATGGTAATCAAGGAGTCGTTGCGTCATTTCCCGGTCGGCCCATTCATCGCACGCAAAGCCAGCACTGACTTTCCGTTTAAGGGTGGGATAATTCCAAAAGACTCATTCATCTTACTTAACATCGCAAAAATGCACAAAGATCCAAAGTATTGGGGTGACAAAGCGAACGATTTTTATCCGGAGCACTTTTTGCCGGAGAACTTTTCAAAAATGCACCCTTATACGTTTTTAGCTTTTAGTGGTGGACCAAGAAACTGCATTGGAATCAAGTATGCATGGTACGTGGCCAAAATAATGTTAGCGCATTTGTTGCGTCGATACAAATTCACTACCCATTTGAAATATGAGGATATTCGCACAAAAGTTAACATTATATTGAAGATAGCCAATGAAAATCCGATTTGCGTCGAACGGCGAGACTGGTAGATAAGCGACATTTATTTTTAAATCATTTTTTGAACTTTTTTCCTCTTCAGAATTGTGTTGTTGTAAATAAAGGTTATTTGTAAACTATAACTAAATACTATAATAATTACGTGGACGAATTGAAATGAATGAACAATAACAATAGACATGCTATTCATAACTGGGTTATTCGATACGAAAGCCAGTTTTGTACTTTTTTCATTGGGTTTTAATTGAATAAATTTGCTACATTCTTTTTGTTCTTTTTCTATTCACGGAATAAAATCAAAAGCTATTAGCGTACGTTGATAGTCGTCATTGACGGAGTAAAGCAGCTAGTTCAGAGCAGTTTCTTTCCCCGAAAAAAAATAATTTTCGGTTTTTCATTGTCATGTTGGTCATCAATCAAAAGCATCAAGAAGCCGTATTGGAGGAGCTACGATCAATTTTCGAAACGGCTGATAGTTATGTGACTCAAAATCATTTGTCAAGTATGCACTAAACTGAACGCGTCATCAATGAATCTATGTGATTGCTTTCGCCTGTTCCGTTCATCTCACGTAAGCTGATATTGAATTGAGTAAAGGAACTATTCCTCAAGGCTCAATGGTCTTAACAAACATTATGCACTTACATCGTAATCGAAAAATTTGGGGTGAAAATGCCATTGAATTCGATCCGGATAGATTTTTACCCGAAAATATTGCCGAACGACCACCGTTCAGCTACATTCCATTCTCGAGTGAAGCAAGAAACTGTATTGGAATGAAATACGGCATGAACTCGACAAAAATTACTCTGGCTCATTTATTGCGACGACACAAATTTACCACTAATCTAAAATTTGAAGATATTTGCCTAAAAACCCATCTGGAAGTGATCAACGAAAAAGCGCTGCGAATAGAAGAACGTTCCTTTTAGTCACTTTGTTTTTTTTTATCAAGTTCAATGTGTCTCTTAAAATTTTTTCTGGTCATCTTATGTTCTATTAAAACGATCATGGTTCGAAGAGAAAAGTAATTATTTTCAAAAATTAGTTTCGATACGCGTATTTTTATTTCCCCGCAAAAAATATACATATATACAATTTTTAGTAATGATACTTGCCAGCCCATATTTTTGAATATCAATTAAATTGCTGACATTAAACTCACTCAATCTGAGATGAGTGCATTCCATTCGATGATTGCCTTAACAGGTTTTGAAAATGACAAATAGTTTGACATTATCCGCATTGTTCAAAGTAGAAACGAAATCGCTTAATTCCGTTTGTGATATAGAAAGAAAGAGAAATGTCTGGTGAAAAAAAATTTAAACTTGATACGGAATGCGGTATAAATTTGTACACACGTTTGCAGTCGAAAAAGCGTGCAACGATTGAGAATTTGTCACCGGAAATTATTCCAAGCTATGGTCCAAGGCCAGGCGAAATTGTTGAAATTAGTGGCGAATCGGGCACGGGCAAAACGATACATTTGATGGAATTAATTGCACGTACAATTATCCCTGTGGAATTTGGCGGTAAAGGTGCTTCTGTGATAGTTATTGACACCAATTCAAATTTTCACGTGCCGTTTCTGCTACCTAAAATCATCGAAAAACACTTGATTCATCACCGTACATTGGCATGTCCATCGACTGACACTGAAGATTTACAAGCCGCCACTCATAATATTGCCGATATTGTTCTAGAATCGATGCAACGAATAACGTTCTTCAAATGCTTTTCTGGTACAGAATATAAACTAATACTGCTGTACTGCACAAATCACTTAACAGCAAACGCAAGCATCAGTTTGTTAGTTGTCGACTCAATTGCAACATTCTACTGGAGTGAGTTTACCGATGAAAAACCTATTCGAATGGACATGTATCTTCAACAGCGGGTTCAGGAACTTCGCCAATTAACCAATGAATTCAAAGTGGTCGCAACGTATACACGTCCAGCTGAGTTTGGCAGCACTTCAACGGTTACAAGCGAGCAGCATGCTGACTATAAAATTCAACTGAAACACACCAAAACACCAAAACAATGGCGAGAGGCGCGTAACTACTATTCCAATCAACAATCATCACGACCATTTTCAATCAACAGTTTTGGCATTCAATGGTTGTCTTCCACATCCTAATTAGGAATTAATTCTTCTAATTGATAAATTAGCTTATTTTTATAAAAGGCTCTGTATTTTAACAGAACAAAACAAATACATCAAAAAGTGTTTTTTTTCTTCTCAAAAATGGAAATGTTCATTTTATATTTGGTTACATTTTCTACAGATATTTACATATCATAGATTTCCGACTAGATGCGTGTATTTAAAGGACAAAGTGAGTCTTTATATTGCAATTATTATTCGAAACCATTGAAACCGGCCAAATTATCGCGCAAAATAGCAACCAAGCGTCTATTGAAATCAAGTAATGTATGAGCTGATGTCAATCCTACATACATACTATACAATTCAAAGCACTTGATTTTGCCATTATTTTTCGGGAAGCACGTTTCGATCAGCCACCTGTATTAGGTAAAAATTTAATAAAAAATTAGTTGTATTTTTTGTTTGATAAATAGATTATAGATAGAGTTGAATACGTACTGATAAAACTCTCCCGAAATGACGCCCGGCACAACGTGTGGTTTGATGGCATTAGCAGATGTTGAATTGGGAATTTCCTTTGGCTTAAGCTGCGTTCCATGGTTGTCTTCGAACCACAAAAAGTACGAATAAAAAAATACATCATCTTGCCATATCAACGATAAATTTCCCTTTTGCAAATATGATCGTGACATTTTTACCATATTCCATACCTAAATCAATGAATAATCAAACACAAATTATTCCAAGAATCTCGATAACTCTTCAAAAGAGCCAAAACAAATAATCGCATACCTGCTTTCTTATTAATGGAGCACGTTTATTTTCCGGATCTATTATCGGCACAACGATGCGGCCACTTGAACGATTTATGTGGATGAAATGAACCAATCCATTGATATCTTTGAAGACTGTATTTCATTCGGTTAAGGAAATTATGAGAGTATTTGAAAAATGAAAAAAATGAAAAGTTCTAGAAAAAAAGAACTAAAAAATGTATAAAAAGTTATAACTCTGGAAAGGATATGATCCAAGGGCTATATTTTGAATTGCTTTAACGCGTAGGAATTCCGAAATTTCGACAAGTTTTTCTTCAATTTTGGTTGCAATTTCTGCGACTCTCTGTACACCATACAAAAGAGTGCTGCATTCCACACAAATCATCTGAAAAATAAAAACAAATGAATATGATTGATATTTGCAAAAGAATATGTTGGAGACAAAAAAAAAAATCATTCACCCGGAATAAGTCTTTGAGTGTCTCAACCAGACCAGGTATATTAGACTCAATGGTTAAAATTAAATCTCGGTCACTATTTTTAAATAATTCCAAATATTTCTTTCGAAGAAGATCCCATTTGCTAGAATACTTTTTGATGGCCGCTTCAATATCAGCATTATTATACTTAGCTTTTTTAAGCGCATCCAAGCTTTGTTTGATGTAATGATCCAAGTTTTCGTATGCGGGTCGAAAGTTGTCCATATCGTTTTGCATTTGCAATATGCGAATTTTGTGCACGGCAAAGAAAACGTCAAACAAACCACTTGAAACAGCCAGACTACCATATTCAAGTAAAATGATGAGCGTAACATCATTTTCCATGTGACAGATGTGTACGATGTGTGGAATGCATCCGGCATGAGTACCATTTACATTGCCTTGTAAAAATACCAAATGAGTATCAACTTTCCGGTCCGATTTGGCATCATGGTTGGCCGACACTGATTTTTGACAGTAAATTTGAAGGAATATCAAGTCACCGGTTGACAGATCTTGAGCCGAACGGCTGAAAACAAACAAATATTGAAAAGTTAACATCTCAATTTCTTTCCATTCATTGGTAAGCTACCTTGAGCACATAGCGAGAAGTTTATTTTTTACGAATAAAATTGAGTGACTACGCTGTGAGTAGGGGTCGCGTTTGAGATTCTCCGATGCTGTTTCTAGCGCTCTTTGTGCGACTCTCTTTAAATCCAAATTGATAAGTAAATTCTCCATGCCTTCTATCAATACCGTCTGAAACGAAGCGATAAAATTAAAATGGTTCCACAGTTACCATATAATATCATGAAAATCTTACTTCATCGTTTTGATAAAGATATTTCCAGCTTTCTAATAGTTTACTCAAAATTTTCGCCTTCATTTGAATAGTTTTCAATCTGAAAATCAAGTTTAAGAAGATGAGAATGGGGTGAATAAATTTTCACCGATTATATGTTTTACTTACAAATAAATGTCAGGGCCACACAAATGTTTTATGAATGATATACAAATGCCGACGTATCTCTGTTGGTATTCCACACTTTCCGTGCCAATACATACGAACAAAAATCCCAAAAACTAAATAACATATCCAATATTAATACAATAAAAAAATATGTACGATTAGTAGATTACCTCTTCGAAAACGAGGTTCATGTTGTCCTTCAGCTGAATCGATGTGTACGAATTATCGAATTGACAAAACATAATTCGTTGCGATGCAATCAGTGGGCTAAAAAGTTGGACCACGACATTTGTGTCAATCTCATTCATTTCAACCTGCTCACGATTTAAAAAAGCTTATGCTTGCATCCTTTAATTAATGTTCAAAGTGAACCTTACCGCATCATTTGGAAGCAACTCTTGCTTTTTGGCCAATTCATACAGACGATGGTTGATTTTGTCATCTAGCTGAGTGAAAACAATGTCATTTTGTTGATCAAATACAAACAGACCGTCCATTTTTCGTGTCGTTTTTCCACAAAAAATACACTTTGAAATAAGGTTTGAACCTTTAGAATGTTCAATATTACTTTGAAGTTATCAGAACTATTTTTGATGCATTCAAGTGACATTTCATTTTGTACACGAAAAGTACACTGATAGGTAATACTCCGGGCATATGCGCACCAATACAAATGACAAGAAGGCAACTCAAGATTCGATGGAGACGGTCAGTCCAACTTTTTTTTAAATCATTGTAGAAAAGAGAAATAGGCAAACAAAAATTATTTCTGCTAAAATGCACAATCCATTCATTAAAACTATAAGTACTATTCTTTCTATTTCTGAATAAGTATTTGTTGAGTTAAATGAATACTAGCCGACACAGCGGTTGGTACTTTGGCAGAGGCACAAAATCAGCTCTCAGCAGAATAACTTAACGTTACATGAATTATTATTAAAATCGAAAAATCAAAACTAAAACTAAAATGCTGCTGCGTTCTACTGCGTCTACGTGTGTGACGTATGTATTAAACCCATCGAAGTGTATTTGGAGCCCACGATCCAGTACGAATATGTCGGGAGTGTATCCATTGAACAGCTCAAAACGACCTGAAATCACGAACAACAATATATAATAACAACATTTTCTGTTTCATTTTTACATGCCAATCAAAATATTTCCTTTGTATAAGATGCATTTTGCAGCCAATTTATCACGATGCCAAACTGTTTTCAATCCTGTTGGATGCTGATTTGACGCGTTGCTCTGTGGTAAATAGGCCTCCGCCTCTTCGAAAGTAAGATGGGTTAGATCTTTGACGTATGTGGCTTCATCTTCTTCTCGTGCAGCAGCATTCTCCGTTTCAACGTTTGTTTCAATGATTGATCGCCAGTTTTTTCGATATACTTTAACCAACCGATTGTTCAATTGTTGATTTGGATTTTCTGCTGCATTTCTAACCACTTCACGTGCTTTAGGTTTTGGTCGCAATTTCTCAAGTTCCTTTTTCAATTGTCGCCGGCTCAATTGTGTCACAATGATGTCTGACAATCCAACTTCTGGCTTCGGTTCACAATAGTGGCACACCTTGAATCGATGACTTCGTGTGTTCCGTGGAAATCGCTGCAAGCATCTTGTTTGCAATGTTTCTGGCTCTTCCACGTATCGAACGACACAATTCCCTTGTTTGCGAATAGACTTCACTAATCTACGAGTTCCCGGACAGCAAACATGTTTCCTAATGCGAATCGGCGAATTTGGTGAAATCTCTACGGCACCTATGAAGAAAATTGTTGGCTTACGATTCGTCAATCGAATGACCATGTTATCATTAGCTCGAGTTGATTGAATGTATTTGTCCATACGAATCCGAGCATATTGGTATACGCAGCCATACCTCTTTGTAGCATTCTTAAGCGATGACGAATGTACGACATGTAATGCGAACCTCGTGGCGATGGCATCACTGGGTGTGCTTTCAAATCGTCATGCTCAATCTTCGTGAAATTTGCTGTCAAACGTTTTCCTTTGCGATTCCGAATCGGCTGTTTAGCTTCCCAGTGATAGCGTTTGCTGCTGATTTTGATGTTTTCCCATAGGCGAAACAAACGAAGCATTGTTGAAATCAGCAAAATGCCACGAGTGCACAATCACCACATTATCTTATGTGAAATAAGCAAAATATATAATACAAACCATACCTCTGTGTCGATTGTTCGTCTCACTGACGCATTGCAAGTTTTCATACCAGGATCCACTGCAACTTCGTAGAAAAAGTCCATTGCAAGAATATCCATAGGTGAGAGTTCCGTTTGCTCTTGTTTTGGCTTGTTAACCTTCAAACCGTGAAACCTATTTTATAACGTTGTTCGTGAAATCGGTGCCTGAGTGCCCCAATTGCATTTTTGTATGAAAACTAGAGTTTGATAAGAGATAAAAGATTTGTGTCTTGAGCAAAGTTATAGAGCATGTCAAGTACTAAAATATTCTTGCAAACACTATTCCGTTAACACTCTTATCAGTTCCGCAAAAAACCGCCAAAAATGCGAAAAACGCGAGATTTTCCATATCATTTTTTACAGAACTGATAAGAGATAAGAGCTATTTGTCTTGAGCAAAGTTGTAGAACAGATTGAGTTCTACAACATTCCCGAAGACGCCAACTTGTTATCTCTTATCAGTTACGCGAAAAATGATAACATAAAAATCGCGTTTTTCGCGGTTTTTCGAGTAACTGATAAGAGATAACAAGTTGATGTCTTCAGGAATGTTGTAGAGCTCAACTCTTTCTACAGTTTTGCTGAAAATAAATTTCCCCTAATTCTCATCAGTTACGCGAAAAATGACAAGTAAAAAACCCGTATTTTTCGCGGTCATCTGCGGTTTTTCGCGTATTTTGCGCAACTGATAAGAGATAAGAGATATCTGTCTGGGACAAAATTGTGGAATGGGACAAGTACTACAATATTTTAGAAAATTTTATCTCCTTATCTCTTATCAATTATGCGGAAAACCGCGAAAAACGCGATTTTTATGTTATCATTTTTCGCGTAACTGATAAGAGATAACAAGTTAAAGTCTTCGGGAATGCTGTAGAACTCAACCTGTTCTACAACTTAGCTGAAGACAGATATCTCTTATCTCTTATCAGTCCATTAAAAAATTAGATACAAAAATACGCGTCTTCCGCGTTTTTTGCATATTTCGCGGAACTGATAAGAGATAACGGAATAGTGTTTGAAGAAATATTGTAGTTCTTGACATGCTCTATAACTTTGCTCAAGACACAAATCTTTTATCTCTTATCACACTCTAGTTTTCATACAAAAATGCACTTTGGGCACTCAGGCACCCATTTCACGTATAGCGCATCACACATGCTTATGCACATATGTGATGACGTAGTATGCGTATGTGAGTATGATAGCGCAATTCATGTAGTCAAATGTTCAACAAATCGAACCATCTTTGTGTAAATCATTTATGATGAAAAATGATAAAGATATAAGTGTTTAAAGTTGGTCTTGGGCACTCAGTGCCCGATTCACGGTTCTAAGGTTAAACAGAATCGATGGAGATCTGTCATAATTCTTTGGCGGAATTTAAACTTGCCTCTCACCAGCCCATTGATCTTCTCCATATCGAAATGTGCCCAATTTTCATCACGGTGCGCATAGAAATCATTCTGTTCCCATTTCTCCTCACTGTCTGAATTTATCGATTTGTTGGCGAGAGCTAACAACAATTTCGTGTCGATCGTTATGTGTTTCAGTAGAAATGAATTCATTGGAACCACTGCAAAATTTCTAACACTCGGTGAATGAAATGCACTTGGCTGCGGCATCAAAAGATCTCGTTTGTGTTGCGCCCACTGTATCATCAAGCCCACAGTGTCATTGTGGAACTGTTCAACAACGCGTTGAATGCAACAAAACATGTACAGCGATTGAAACCAATAGGTTGTAACGAAATCGAACATGTTATCATTTGCTGGACCACCAATTTCTCGCAATTGTTCCAAAAAATCTTCATACAACAATTCCTTGCAGTCGGAATCAGGATTCAATGGACGCTGGAAAAACAAATATTTCCATCCGTATGAAAACCAATACACTTTTTGTGCATGCTACTACTTCATCTTCTTCACACTATCGTACACATAATCGTGCACAATGGAAGCGGCCATATTGAATATTTATAGTGTATTGTCATTATTTCTTCCAATAAGTCGCCATTACAATATGTGTTAAGCAGTACCATTCCTCAGTTTGCATACGGACGAATATTTCAACAACGCATTGATATCGGCGTCATTGATTAACACTCGTGCATCTGTGTGAGAACAGTGTTAGATATGCGTTAACGCAATGTGGATTCAGTGTGGATTGTGTATGTCGCTTGGGTATATAGGCAGATCCCCTTTGAGATTAACGTCACACATTTTTCTAGTCTACTGCTTTCTTCACAGAACAGACTTGTAGCAACCAAACCAACATGGATAATGCAAAACTGAATCAACCTCATTCAATAAAATCAAAACAGATTTCATTTTTCAGTAATCACACAAACACAACATTGAAACTGATTTAGAGATAGGTATCGATTTGCAGCAATTTGCATACATGCTTGGTCACAGGCATTTCATTTCGAATCACATGCTTTTTTGACTGAATAGAGAACGTGGTTGTAACGCTCTCTGAGTTCCTTCACATGGAATGATACCTGTGGCGGCATATTTTCACACGGAACTTCGTTCCCAGTGCGAAGAGCACTAGCTACATGTAATAACGTGTGGTTTCTAATATTCGGATACGTTCGCTCTATATATAGCAAGTGCTCGGCGTACTGGGAACGAAGTTCCGTGTGAAAATATGCCGTCACACGTATCATGTGATGGAACTCAGAGAGCGATTTTGCATTTTTTCTACTAAAAACAATAATTGATGACTCTGTTTTTTTTTCTTATTCGCTATTCATCACATTTAGTCCGATAAATATGTTTATGCGATAATATACTGTTCGATTCGGTGTAATCCAATGAAATGCGTGTTGTATTCAACTTCCTACCGAGAAGTCTATGCGTCGAAATAAAAAAAATTGTAATCGCATCATGGCACATATATATCACATGACCAGTGCTATTAATTGTTTGTTGTTTTTTTATATTCTCAGCTCGTCATTTTGGTGGCATTCCGCTTTCAATCGCATACGAAAAACAGTTGATGCAACAGTGTCTCAATCGGTACAATATTTTCAATACTTTTTTGATAAGTGTATTGCTCGCAATATTTGCTCAATGCTACAAAAAATTGAATAATCGATTTGATGTGAAAAGTTAAAATAAAAACAAAAACACGTATTTCCTAGTAGAAAGATCTCTCAGTGAGATTAGATAAAAAAAAATTGTAAGTGAAAAAATCTGGGAATATTTTTCTGTTTGCCAGTTGATCTCTTTCGTTTTCTTTTTTACATTTGTTCGAGCATCGCAACAGAGTTTTTGATCAAATATTTTTTTTGAAGACTGCTTGGAAACACGGACAAATTCATTCAACTCTATATGCCAGGTGGTAACAGCAACGAAAATTCGCTAGAATCAACTTTTAACTCAAGCAAATAACCGTTAAACCAAAAGCAAATGTTTTTCAAATGTGTTGTCGGGAAAGAAAAATTGAACTGAAAACTAGAAAAAAAACTGAAACACTTAAGCAACAACAGCATTTCTGTTGAAATGCACCGCACACAGTTTTCATATTTGTTAGATGATTTAATCCGCAAATATAAATGACGATTGATTTTATCCCAGCAACTAATTCTCAATATTTTCGGGGAGAGACAGAGAAATGGGGAAATAGAGACACATACACAAACAGGAAAAGAGAGAGAGAGAGAGAGAGAGAGAAGAGAAAGAGGGAGAGAGAGGAAGAGGAAGGGATGAGCGAGAAAACTGTTTTTAATTTGTCACCAAGCTGCAATTATATTCACATTAGAAGTCGGTGCGCTTATTTAAAGCCAAACGATCGCTATTATTATTATTCTTTCAATTGGATGCTGGGACTGAGAAAGGCTTGTTTTTGTTTTATTTTATTTTTACAATCTTTGACCAATAATAAATGAAAGATAACAATCCATGCAAAATAAAAAGAGCCCATGAAACATGCAAATAGACGAAATTCATGACGAAAAACAGTAAACATATTAGATAACGATGCTAAAGACAATTGAATCTATTCAGTTTTGATTATAAATACTTGTGAATTCTGGTGTGAATTAATTCAGTGCTCGGTCATAAAGCCATCGATGCGTGAACATAAGACAAGGTGCACTCAATATCAGAGTTCTATTTCCTTTCATAAAACGTGCTGCAGTGTTTTGTAAAGTAAATAAATACCAACAGTTTTGTTCGTAACTCTAATTAAAAATAAAGAAAAAAGTACAATTTTTGCATATATATTAGTCAAATAAGTACAAATAAACGCTTGGAACGAATCACAAAAAATAATCGGTAAGTTTATTTAAAAGTCGTTTCAAACTTGTGATGAGACTTTGACAAATCACATTTTCGATAATTTCGCTGTCGAATTAAAAAAAAAACATCGATTCACTCATTCTAACCGACACATTCGCTATTTTTACTTCACTTTGTTATCAAAATTCTCCTACTTCCACCAAAAGAAATACTATTACTCACACAAAAACCAAAAAATGAATTATTTTTTTCAGTTTTGCATACAATCGCTTCGACAATTTTTTGTAATGGGATATTTTTGTGTCTCTTTTCTCTCTCTCTCACTATCTCCCTCTTATGAAATTTCAAGGTTGGAACCCTATCATGGAATGAACGTAAATGCAATACCTACATAATTCTAACTACAAAATTAATTTGCACGTTCGCAAAGTTGCGTTTGAAACAAAAAGAGGTGTCTGCTGTTTATTTGATTTATGATCTCGTAAGCCTAATATACCTCATCTAACGTGATGTGAATTCTTTGCGCATGTAATTTTTGCAACAGAACAACTGAAACAATACGCTTAAATAAATTCTATAAAAATAGTGATACATAGTACGTTTTATTTCGGTTTTTGGTTCGCATGTGTTCATTCATGATTTTTTTTTTTAATCGTCATTCATGAAAATGGAGTTTTTTTTCTCTCTTTGTGTTATCGCATGCACCGAGCAGTATTTTGGCTACGCGGGATCTACCTTTTTTACTTTTGGATTCTAATAGTATTGTTATTGTTTGATCGACCATATTCAAATATTCACCCACTCATGACGAAAAAATCTCAAGTAATCGTGCGCACATGTCGAGGTTTTAAATTCTTGAGCAATACTCAAGCGATGAATGCCAGTGATCAGTTTGAAAGAAGAAACAGTGTCAGTGATGTGCTTGAAATACAAATAAATATTACAAAAAATTCTCTTTTTTTAGGGAAAAATTGTCTGTTCAATGAATGAGTGTGTCTTATCTTGATAAAAAAAAATAGTAGCTAGCATAGTAAAACTATCGCTAGCCTCCGGCTCCATTTTCATGGAAAAAGGCTCGCTTTTGTGTGACTTTGTTTAAAGAAGTAGCAACTGTGATTTTATGTAGTATAAATAATTTTTATCTTGATTTTGGCTGCTGTTGCAAATCTGATTATCATGACTATCTATGGATTGTAAATCGTTTCGTACACGTGTATGTGTATATATGTTTGCTTAACAAGAATGCCGGGGTCGTATCAAAATCATATGGATTACTTAGAGCTTGTAAAACACGACCAGCTTGAACCAGACCGCCTGACAAGCAACAACCATAATCAATTTAATTTCAGAGCACAGACATACTAGGTGCGCTCCCGTTCATTTCATTTTTTCTCATCGAAATGATACTCAAGTCACTTGGATTGTCTATTTAAATTTCCATTTCAACTATCGTATAAATTCCACGTCTTATAATCACGTTCGCTATCGTTTGTGTCCAATGATTTTTTCTAACTTTGGTTTGCATCGAAGAAAAAATGAAAATACATTTTTAAAAAATAATGCATAGATCCCAATTTCGATTTTTTTTAAATGAACTTAATTCTTAGGCAAATAAAAACAGTCTTTAAAAAGTGTAATTGTAACGTTGTTCCTTTTGTTTTACAGAGATGACAATTCAAACGTCAGTGCGCCTAAACACAGACGCAACGGCCGTTTGGAAGGTTGAACGGCCGTTCTATGAACAGCAACAATTCAACAACGAATTAAACTACTGTAAACCAGAAGATGATCGAAAAACTAGCTGCTCACAATGGATCTACAATATTAAACCAACAAATATTTTTTTAAGCATTTTCCCCATTTTCACATGGCTGTCACAATATAATATAAAGAATGATTTGGTGGGTGATGTCGTCTCTGGGTGCACTGTAGCCATAATGCATATCCCACAAGGAATGGGGTATGCAATGTTAGCTAATATACCTCCAATCGCTGGTATTTACACAGCATTTTTTCCCGTTTTGGTGTATTTCATCTTTGGTACATCGAAACACAATTCGATGGGTACATTCGCGGTGATCTCAATCATGGTTGGCAAATCAGTTCTCAAGTATGCACAAGATTCGGTGACATTTCATCCGGCCGAGAATAATTCAATCAGCCATGCAGATGAAATATGGACAATGGAGCAACCAATATACACGCCGATGCAGGTCGTCACATCGCTATGTCTGATTGTTGGATGCATTCAAGTAAGATATACATTTTTTGGCGTTTTGTCAATAGGAGAACATTGATGTATTGATTTATTTGATTCATTTCCACTCTTTTTTATAAGCAACTAAAAATGAAATATTAAACTTTTGATAGCTTGTAATGTATGTCTTAAGATTGGGTATAATGTCATCATTGCTATCAGAAACCTTAGTCAGTGGCTTCACTACAGGTAATGAACGCTTTAGTATTTACTATTTACCATTAAACAAATCCAATTCTTCCATATTTTCTTTATTCTTCCACCACAGGTGCCGCGATACACGTTTTCACGTCGCAAGTAAAAGACTTGCTTGGAATCAAACTTAGTCCCGTTGTTGGGAATTTCAAAATTATTTTGGTAAATATTTTTGGAAATTACAATAAAATAAAACAAATGAGTAATAGTATTAATAATGGATAATATTTTTCGTCTTTGTTCATTTTCTAGAATTATTTAGAAATTTTTAGTAGCTTATCAGCAATCAATTGGACGGCTGTGGTAATATCTGTAGTGACGATAACATTATTGTATTTAAATAATGAGTTGCTCAAACCAAAATTGAATAAAATTTGCTTGTTGCCCGTGCCAATCGAATTGATAGCGGTGGTGGCTGGAACTTTGGTATCGAGATATTTGGATCTATCAATGAATTACAATATCAAGACCATAGGCCATATTCCAACCGGTTTTCCAGGTTCATTCCTTTCCTTACTATTGTTATTTCATATTGCTTATGCTTTTTCAATTTTTTTTTTTAAATGGCGAATATTTTGAATTTTCAGCATTTGATTTACCAGACTTAGAACTTTCCAAGCAGCTATTCATGGATGGCTTCATAATATCAATGGTGTCGTATACCGTTTCGGTGTCGATGGCTTTGATTTTTGCACAAAAATTGAATTATGAAATAGATTTCAATCAGGAATTATTGGCAATGGGTGCATCCAATGTGTGCGGTTCATTTTTTTCGTGTTTACCATTATCCGCTTCACTTAGCCGTTCGGCTATACAACAATCAACTGGTGGGCGAACACAAATTGCCTCTATCGTTTCCTGTGCACTTTTGACCTTTGTCTTACTTTGGGTTGGTCCATTCTTCGAACTTTTACCGAGAGTAAGGCGATTTGATATAAAATATCAAGTTTTTATTTTTTTGACTAAATAATTAGGGTAATGTTGTAATAAGTGGGCCATCTTAATGAGTGGGCTACCCATAATTTTCTTCCCCGAAAACATCAAATTGAGATCGAAAACCCGTGTAGAGTGTAGTGTTGACTTAATTTCACCACAAAAACGTCATAAAATGCAATTAGTGTTAAATTTCCGTTCATCCGAATGACGAAAATATGACCACATCTAATTCACCTGTAAATAATATGTCTTCCGAAAGACGTGGATTTCGATGTTTCAGACGCCCAAACTATACATTAGAACTTTGGATATTCGATAAATATCCAATAAACATTGATATTCTATGACATTTACTTGATTTTTTGACATTTTTTGGGGTTTTCATCAGGCCCACTCATTACTTCAAAATTTTGGGGTTGCCAAAAATCAACACTTTGGAAAAAATGATCAAAATTGTTTTTTTGAAGAGATAACAAGATACGGCTGCAAAGAACTTATAGCTAATGTCAATAAGCTCTACATAAGTCTTTAAAAAAAAATTATAGCCGAAATGGCTTAGGTGGTCCACTCATTACAACATTCCCCTAGATAAATTTGGTTTTCAATTCTATTCTTAGTGCGTTTTGGCCAGTATTATAGTCGTTGCTCTAAAAGGAATGCTCTTACAAGTCAAACAGTTCGTTCAATTTTGGAAAATGTCGCATTTGGATGCCGTTGTATGGCTAGTTACATTTTTAACCGTAGTTATCTTTTCAATTGACATTGGCCTTTTGGTGGGTATCGTTTTGAGTTTAGCCTGCATATTCATTCGCGGCTTGAAGCCTTACACATGTTTGCTTGGACACATTCCAAAAACGGATTTATATTTAGATATCAAACGATATAAAGCGGTGAGTGATAAAAGATTGATGTTTATATTATTATAGTAATCACTGGTAATCACAAAATACATTGTGTTTAAATTATATGCATATAATCACATTTTTCAAAAAGAGTCATTTTTTATTTATTATATATAAATAATATATTTTCTCTGTGTCTATATATAGACACTATAGTGCAAGGGGGAAACTACTACTACCGCATAATTTATATTAATACAATCTAGTACAACACCAATTCTGATAAATTACAAAAAATTCTGCGCAATTCAAAACAATTCCAATCAATTCCGATGTTTCTAAGTCAAATTTGATGATGATCAACTTCAAAAATTGCAAATATAGGGTCATTTAGCATCTCAAAGGAATGCTTAAGCGCATGAATGTTCAATCTTATCGAAATAACTTCAGATAGGGCGTTTTTAATTGTACATAGGTCTCACTTCCAATTCAATATTTCACTTCAAATAGGTAAAGGCTTTATGATACATAAAATATTTTCAAAATAGAAAACAGAGCTAGAATTGAGTCTTGTAGATCAAACCAAGTCAAATATGTTCTGGAAGTAAAAATCTTCAATATGCATTCAAATGAATGGTAAATGCTTTGCAAATATTTGCGATATTTTAAATTGATCATCACCAAATTTGACTAAGGAACATCGGAATTGAGTGGATTTGTTTTGAATTGCGCAGAATTTTTCGGATTTTTTCAGAATTTGTGTTGTACTAGATTGTATTAATATAAATTATGCGGTAGTAGTAGTTTCCCCCTTGCTATAGTGTGTCTGTTCCTAGGGGCTTTTAAGTCAAAAAATACATTCGTATTTGTGTGAATATTTCGTGAATATTGCATATAATCCGTGTATATCGTGTATATATTCGCGAAAAATATTCACCATATTCACAGAATACACACAGCATGTAAAAAATATGTGTTTACGGCAATGTCGAATCTTTGTTACCGATCGTGAATATGAGGTGTATATTTCATGAATATCGTGTATATTCCGTGAATATGGTGCATATTTTGCCAGCATTGTGAATATTTCGTATGACTGTCATCTATGGTGTATATTTCTTGGATGGAATATACATGAAAGCCCCTAGGTCTGTTCTATATATATAGAATGTGTTTTTATAAAAACAACTTCGCTTCGTATAATTTTAGGTTGTTAAATAATAAAATCTCGAAGGGATTGTTTACTATTATTTTTATAGGCTGAGGAAATGAACGGCATCAAAATTTTCCATTACTGTGGAAGTTTAAATTTTGCCTCACGAGCTTCATTCAAATCGGAACTTTGCTCGCTCATTCGACTTGACCTTGCAAGCGAAATGCGTAATCATTCGACGAGTACGCAACAAAGATACGAATCGATTGACTTGAAATGCTTAATCATTGATTTCAGTGCTTTGAGCTACATCGATCCATCGAGCGTGTCATCGTTGAAGCTGCTTATTGACGATTTCAATAAACTCTCGATCAAAGTATTCATTTCTGGTGCATCATGTATGTTAATTTTGTTTTAAATTTTTCTACTTCTGAACAATCTTGGCTTGGACTTTGTATTTTTTATTTTCAATTCATGAACAGAGATCGCTAGAATATATTTTCATCCGCATGAATATTTTTATCGAATATTTGTTTGCAATATTTTTATGCCGATATCAAGCGCCGCTTGAATAATAATAATAGGCCGTTTCTGCATGTTGAAAAGTCGAAACCAACATACACATTCTGAATCGGTAGAGCCTGTAGATTTCAAATATATAATTTTTGTGTTAAAAAATTTATTCCCCGCGAGCAAAATTGCGAATTAATAAATAAATGAATTTGAAAGGTTCTATCGTAAACTGTACAATACGTTTGAGTCACGCATCATAGCAAAGTTCGAATGTTTTGCAATGGATACTTTGCATACGAGATATATGTATTTTCGACACCACAGTGACAAGCCATTGTTTTTTTCGAAAACGCAGTGCACACAAGCGAATTCACGTACAAATTTCCCCTCTTTTATTCTGATACGGAGTTACAGGTGGGCGTTTTGCGATTACTTAATCACTTGCACAATCATTTTTCGGATGATTAAGATGGCACTTAATCACTTAACCGCTATTAATCATGATTAAGTGACTGTGCAATTGATTAATTAATCATCGATGATGATTAAGTTGTTGTCTTAATCACGATGTCGCCGTGATTAACTGTAACAACCTAATCATGATTGAGTAAATAGTTAATCATGATTAAGTAAATTCTTAATCATGATTAAGATGTGATTAACGAAATGATTGTGTAGAATTAATTAATCATTAGACGCCAT